ACGTCTGTTTCAACTAGTTTTCGATCCTCTCCGAACGCACCGAATAATGCAAACTAGAAATGCGTATCAAGGAAAGATCGTACCTTGTCCTTGGTAGAATTTTAGATAACCGGCGTAGGCAGAATCCAAGCAAAGCGACAGAGGCTGCCACATCTCAGAGGCAAGCATGAAAAACTAAACTGCAGACCGAAAAACCAATCTTCGACGGGGAACTGCTGGCTAGTAACGGCTACAGCGTCACTGTTACACAAAAACATATAATATAGATGTTGTTTGCCTCTAACAAATCATGATGACGCTGATAATCGCTCCGTTTGTAGTTACTTGTAAAAGGGGAATAACGTATCACGTATGTGACTGAAGGTAGCAATCAACGACATTAAAAAAAAAAAACAAGAACAAGAGATATTATAAAGGAAAAACGTTATAACCTTGCAGTAGCTGAACCTTCCCAAAGAACTAATGCTCTTCTCGATTGGTGAACGTTTAGCTTCCAGTCTGGCTTTCTGTTTATCCTCTGCTGCACGCGAAATTCACCAGGGGATCGTAATCTGCACGGATCGTACTCAAATCCCTAGAAGTTCTCTCGAGCGTTTCGGCCTTTAGCGTTAAACATTTCGACTGTCGAACTAGCGCGGTTCATAAAAGGACTACGTATCTAAAGAATGCATGGTTTTCTAGAGAAAGCTCCCGATGTAGTTTACGAGTAGCTCGAGTTAGACAGCGGGATGTCGGCCAAGGCGGCTCGGAGACAGCAACTTCTGGAGCAACGTCGGAGTTGGCTTGACTGACGAAGCACCTACCAGTAGTATCGCTGAAGATTGCAATTATAGTAGTAATTTTCCTGGTAGTTCATTTACTATAGCCAGTCAAGGATGTGCCTTGTCACGAATCAGGACACAATGGCGCATACACAACTTTCTGTCTGATCAATGCACACTAGCAGCGAAGGGAAATTTAACAAAGACGCTAATCAAACAACAACAATGAGCAAATGTTTTAGACAAGATTATTTTTAAAAGAAAGAAGAGATCGGTCGAAGTGGAAAATTTATAAATGTAAAAAATACAGAAATAGTTTATAGAAATATGAATATACGAGATATGCAGGAGATATGTCTCTAGGCAATTTAAATTCCGAAGGAGCGGATGCGGCTCTGGGAATAGGGATTCTAACGGGAGCGAAGTTGCAATTTCGGAGATGACAAGGCTAGGGAGAAGCGGGTTGAACTCAAACTTATTAGAAGACCCTTAGAGTTTTTCTCTTTTATCATTAAATATTCTGTTGCAAACCTTCGTCAAATCCACTATCAACATGGTGAGTATGCGATTCAAATGAATAACATTTCAGTTTCTGCCAAAAGATCATACGAAGCACTCTTATCGCATGCTCCCATTCGATATCGAACAACCTATCGCCGAAGTTCGAAAATGGACGGGCGCCAGCCATCTGAAGTAACGTTTAAGGACGTGAGCACTAGACGAAAAACACGAACAGTATTTTCTTGGACTCTTGCCCGTCAAATTGTGTGGCTTATGCTAGACTAATTAATTTTTTTTTTGATTGAAGTTCAGATGACGTTTCCAGGCGTATGCAGGCCTACCATAGGCATGATCGATGAGAGCAAATCAATGTCGATTTAAGAAGGCCGTCTCAATCCCAGTTTCCTTGAACGTTTTTATTATGTCATATGTACCTAGTCGGATGTGTATATGTGCGTTTATGTAACGAAAAACGATCTCTTGAAGGTAAAAATTTACCCTTCGGTTACATAATGAAGCAATACGACGAAAACCTTATACTGTATTGATTGAACACGCTATATACTTCTTCATATCCAAATATACCTTATCAGGTTTCGAAGGCAATATTAGTGCCGATATCTCATAAACGATATCATGCTCGATCTACTAAACTCTATTGTTTTATTTAATTCCCATAAACGTCATGGTTGTCGAATGTGGCCAGAATATCTTCATCATCAACAACGGATGGCTTATTCATGCCGAAATCTTTTTTTCGGCCCTATTAAAGTCTTTTCTGCTCTTTCACAGGAAAATAATTACCAGCCCACAAACATGCTCCAGTAGCAACCTCTTCATTGCTTTTTTGCCATCTCATGCGGAAGGGAAAGCTGAAGATCCTCGGGGCAGGGTGAATGGCGGCGGTCGCGAGTGACGAAGGCTGTCGGGTTCTGATATAAAATGGATCTCATCCGAGAGAATTGCGAAAATCTTAGGTTAGTCGATCGTGGTAGGCCAACCAGACATCCTAGCTAGACCTTATTAAAAGAGGCCTTACCTCACAAGATGCTAACGCTGCAGCAAGTGCCCTAAGCATTCCGGTCTCTCTCAGAGACCATTAGTCCTGTCAGCATATATGGAGGTCAAGGCACTTCGACGTTCACAGAAATGGGGTTACATGGATCGGCTGGCAAACGTCTGCAGCTTTGGCGGCTAACAGGCTTGTGATGGGCATGGTTTAGGAGATGAGTTCTCATTAAGAGCGCCTGGTTCAACACCTTGTCTGGCAGGCAAACGGGCCTTTATTAGGTCAATAATACTAGTAGCGGCTGAAAAGATTCCTAAGTGTTTGAAGGGCTTCGAGCTTGTTTCAGTCGTTTGCCACATCATGCTTACGGTACGTTTCTTTTTAGTGTCATACGTAAGTTGAAAAACAACTCTCTGAGGCATTTTTTTCAAGACGATAGTTAAAAAGCAAAGTATAGCTTAGGACATTAGACCAGCAACAATTGTAATCTCGCGCTGCAACCATGCTATAAAGACACATTGGCAACACAAACGATTTGGTCGTAGAGCGATTGTCAACGGTGTGCATATGTCGAATGGCTCGTTGTTAGGCAAAAAAGTTGACATATAAGGATATAGAATCTACTTTTATAGAACATATACCCTGTTGCACTATTAATATTTAGACTGCGCAGTAACAAAGTATCGGTTAGAGCTTTGTGTTTTAGTCATGAGGTTCGTGACTATGTACTGGACAGATTCTAAATTCAATAGCTATTGATGGATGGACAACTAAGCAGCTTCCATTAAGAGGTAAACTGGTAATTAATATAGCGGCCAGGATCATCTATATTTACAGGATCTCCTTAAGTTCGAGCACGAAATTGGAAGGCGCCACGCATCGGGTGCTACTTTAGCCTTTGGCCAAACGGACGCAGACGACAGATGTGCGGCCTGCACAGGAGCGTCTCGGTATGCATGCAATACGCAATTAGACAATGCAGATACAAAAGATACGCGCAGAAACTGTTCGTCCGCAGGGCATCACGGGTCTTCCAGACGGATCTGCCTTTATGGATTGCACCATACGCATCTGGAGAAAAGGTAAGGCCATATAATCCACACAATCGAAAAGAAACCTTTTTGAAGGGTGTAAAATATCCTTAAGTGAAATTATTTCTTTTTCAACAAACAGTATCTATCAGGAACAAGGATTTGTTAGTCACTTCTAAATAAGAGTCACTTGAAAGATGCATACACAATGCACAAGAAAGAAGGTCTTTGTTCGAGATTATTACGGTTTTAATAAAGGATTGCGGTGTCAGTAGGCTCAGTTTACATTTTGTACGCTGTCTAAAGAAAAGAAAATGTCTTATTTCATAGTAGGACATTCGATAAAAATGACGGCAAATACGCAAAAAAATGGCTCTGCCAAAATTCTTCTTGCCACTTCTTTTTTTATCTATTTTATCTTATATTTATTGTAGTTTTATATATATCTTTTATAGTTTTTTTGTTATCTATTATACCAAAGATAACCAGACCAAAGCATAAAGCCATGACAAAAAAATTGTTGAGTTTTTATTCTGATGAAACTGCTTGCATTGCAACGGGTCAAATCAGCAACGATCAAAATGAAGTAATTTGTTATTCTTCATAAAATACACAATCGCAAATTAATATTTACGTAGACTAGACTTTAAATAGGTTGATGCGGCACTTGCCACTGCGAAATCATTATTTCTCGATAAAAATTTAAAAGACTACTGTATAACAGCGTGTATATATATTTCTATTCAATTTCGTGTTTGCGAATTACAGTATCATAATGCTGGCTTACGTCGTTTATAAAATACTTAACAAACACCAGCTGCTATCTTCAAGCCTGTTAGGTAAGTTCCGTCTAAGCGTCACGATATAAATAATGAAAAGTCCAAACTGTCAAGCCTGATATACATTAAGCATATGCAACCAATTTTTTATGCATGTTAGATAAACTTGTGCAAATAAAATTTACTAGTCATACTAAAATAAAATTTAAAGTCATACTATATAATACGATGTTTTTATATACTTTTGCTTTTTCTCCTATTGTAACCTTCCATAGCATGAGTTACCTGACGTTTTCCTTGTGATTGTAATATTCCTTCCGTCCTTATTGTGCTCATTATAGCAGACGGCAAATACTCTGATGCTGACGAACAAAAAGCAACGGTTTTGTCTTTGGACTATGATTCGTATATGGACTTACAATGTACAAGGTATATTCCCAGCGCTTATATTATAAGCGCTGGGAATATACCTTGAACTAATGGGGTTAAGTCATTGCTCAATCACGTTGGCGCTTCAGAAGTGTTTACATTAATAGGCTTTCCTGGTCTCGCCGAGGCCGGGTTCAGGTCTTGCATAAAGGTAAAGCAGGACTTGGTGAAGGTTTCTAGCGGTCTTGAACGAATGATTTATCTGGAACTTGTCATCGCACCCTGCCCATAAAGTCACTCCATCAGTAGAGAATTCGTTAAACATACATCCCCCAATAGAAATTGTCGATCACAAACATCCAAGCACTCTGTGCCACGCTGTGTTACTCTAGTATTTTAGTCCACGAAAACTTTTTCCTAATAGTACATTTCCAATATTCTTGATACCTTCCAATCAACGTTTTTCCAGTGTGCAGCTGGCAAAACGATTTTTAAAATTAACCACATCTAGTAGGTGCTTGTCAGTAGCACTGCCCGACGTTCTCAAAGCTCTTCCTATCGCAATCCGCATCGACTGTTTCCAGCTAAATTTATCGTCAATAATCTTTTCCTAGCATGAGGACTTTGGAAGCCTGCCTAGACATTATATGGATTATTAAGGTTGTATTCGTATAGAGCGGACTAAATCAGATCAGAAAAATATAATGGAGGGTTTTTTTCAAATTATCATGGACTTTCATCGTGAAAGTGAAATCCTTCATCATAAATTCACCGGCAAGCATCACCTATATAATATATAATTTTTTATTTTGTTTGCATATGTTTATCATAATTTGTAGCGCTATTAAATACTACTGTCATGACTCACAAATGCAGTTTGACCATATTTCACGCCCACGCTGACGAAGATTGTTGAATTAATTAGATATGCCCGAACCCTGGACCTTGCAGGAAATTGTACAGGAAATGGCGGAAATGCTTTTGGCGACTCAATCAGCCGATATGTACTATTCGGCCAAAGTGCTTACTGGGCTTGATACCACATGGCGGCGGGACTTCATCCAGCGCTGGATTTTGCAATTAGTGAATAATTCAGACAACACCAGGACAGTCGACCCAATTCGCGCTTTGGAAAGGTCAGTTACAAGACAAACTACTTCATATGCTCGTGTTGTCATCAAGCCCATTTCAAGTCAATTTAGCCTAAGATTAATTTATTCAGCTGAGAATTAAAATACTTCAAGGATGAACATTCCTTAAAGGTAGTATCAAAGGTTTAATATAGAGAATCATGTTTTGAGGCTAGCTTTAGTCTAATTGCACTTGTATTCATCCATAGGTGTCGTAGGCTACCCAAGACGATAGACGAATTTGAGGAAAAGACGACCGCGGAAAACAGGCAGAATTTCAGTCTGGGACAAGCGACCGCCCTCGGCGGACCCGACGTCGCGATTGTTCTTGCCTTTTTCATGGCAAGTCCAAAACCGGTGTGTAAAGATTACTAAGTTCGAGCAAGATGAATCTCGTTTGTGTTTTACTGGGAAATCCCCGAGAACTGGAAAAAAAAATCGAGACCTAGAATTTAATATAAACTGTAGTTCATTTAGACGACTAAAGCCTGTACACTTGTAAGCGCAGAGTTCCTATTCGTGGTGGAAATCTCTCAGATTACTCGGGATTATATGATCATCCCTGTGTTATTTCGTAATGATGTTAATGTGTGTGTCGGCTTGTGTTCATTTATTTCAGCTGTCTCTAAACGAATTGGAAACCCGGTTTTTGAAGTTGAGGGGTGCCACCCTACCGCTGTCGGCAGTTCACATCTTACATGAAATGGGAGCCATTCAAACCGTGCCTTTTGAAACGAGAAATCGTGGCACAGAAAATGCGTCCCCTAGATTCGATGTACAGGAGTTCTGCCGTATTGTACGCGACTTGATTCGACAGATGAATCATGACCCTGATGCTGTTTATTATTTAATCCTTGCAACTGGCAAAAATGCTTTACCTTGTCTACCGTACAGCTGCACGCGTAGACGCTCAATCGCTTGCCTCTTGGAAAAGTATGGGGTGAGCCAGTTTCCAGATCTTGATGCGGCCCACATGCTCGAAGACTTCGCAGCCTTTTTTGAGAAGTTGCAGTTAGCTAGGGACGATAAAGTGGCTTTGGCTGATTGCTACAATGGATATAGGCTTAGGGAATATGTTGTTTTTCCAAGACGAGTTCCCGATAAGGAAAACATAAACGGCACGAAGAGTTGTTCGGCCGAAGAGAACTGCAACCGAAAACATAAACATCTTTCTCAGACCGCGCTTCAAACCTCTGGAAATTCGGAGCAGCAGCGCCCAACGACAGCTACCAAAGGACGACGGGCGTTACGGCTAGCCGCCATTTTTCCGTATTAAATGATGAAGCTCGACGTACATATGTAGATACCGGATTGCAATGAAAAGCGCTGTGATTTCTCTTGGTCATTGTTTTCATTTATCCAAGAAATGTTTGCTTTGATAGACAGAAGTGACAAAAAACCATGGCATGAGTTTGTGCAAAAGAAATACGATTGATGCCATAGTGTTTCCGCACTGGAAAACACATAGACTTTGAAAAAGACAAGTAAACCTTCAATATATTTTGTTAGTTTTTTAGTATCTAAACATAACGATTTATGTGGTGCATGGTACGATCGTTTGTCCTTTAACACAATACTCAGCTGATAGTCGAATGAAAGAAGGTTCCTGCTTTGCGCATCATTCTAGGTGTTGAACTTCAATGGAACCAATGTAATCGACATACTTAATTTTCTACAACAAAGCTGTTTTCAGCAGAGCTACGGAGCTAGCTCAGCGGTGGTAGTAGATCTCTTTTTGTTTTATTTTTACTGCGTATCTGTGACATACGTTTGAAAATGTAACATTCAAGTGACTAATTTGTAGTACTGCAATTGGACCGCATGACCTAATTATGTAACATGTATTATTCACGTATAAAGGGACACAATACTTACCCTAGCTAACGACGAATGTCTTTTACAGCGACAGGGATATAAACAATTTGTCGTTCATCAAATATCTGTGTTTTATAACTGTCACATTATTTAATACATTCAGCAGTTTAGTAGATTTCGTTCTTAAGGCTGAATATGCCAAAAACGTGATAAAAAGACGTCTATGTTTCTGGAATTGTCTATTCGCAGAACATTCCACACCGTTACGCTGTTATGCATCATAAATATGCCTTGTGACATTTCCAAGACAAATAGCCTGCTGTAGTTTTAGCTTTGCTGACAGGCTACACAGGGTTGTTCCTGCCAGGACCCAGATATTCTGAAAAATGATACTTTTTTGGATGATATACATATTCTAGCTACTGATTCTTTTGATGTTCTGACTGCA